CTTGCCCGGTTTTGCACCATTTCTTGCTCTTTTCAACATTTTGGAACCCATTTAGCCTCTAAGTTTGATTAGCACTTCTCCATACCTGCCAACACACAAACACAAGTGCAATGCAACCTAAATAGACTCTAAATGCACCTAAATGATCAATATAAACATAAAATGGATGGTTAAAAGTATGAAAATATGCAAGATATCAGTAGTTAGATGTTTAATTTTGAATATAAATTAGATTAGCCGAATCATTCATGTTCTGAGTATATTGAGTTAAACATATTTTTAAATTAAAATTGAAGTATAATTAGTTTTTATTTTAGTTAAGTGAAATCAAATTAGTTTTATTTATCGCTTAAATATACATGTATTTTCATAATATTTATCAAATTATATGTTGATTTCTAAAATAATATTAGAAAATAAAGTGTAACTGATAAATTTTTTGATGTTCATGAACATATACTTTTATTATTTGAAAATATATTTTATGTTATTTAAAATATATATTAATGGGGATATTACTATTTTGTGAACTTTCTTTTTTTAATAAAGTCATATTGTACACATATATTTTGGTTTTTAAATTTGTTAAAAAATTTGAGAAATATTTCCTTTTTATTATATATATTATTTACAAAAAGTAAAAATAAAATTAAATACAAAAATTAATAATAATCTTAAAATCTAACATTTAATTGAGGGTATCTATGTAATCAACCATCGCAAGAGTTAATGTGAGCGCGGCACGTAGGAAACCGACTTCTCAAATAATATTATAGATGAAAATTAAGTATAATTACTTTTTATTTTAGTTAAGTTTAAAAAAATAATTTTATTTATCGCTTAAATATACATGTATTTTCATAATATTTATTTTACTCCTTATTTTAGTTAAGTCAAATCAAATTAGTTTTATTTATCGCTTAAATATACATGTATTTTCATAATATTTATCAATTTATATGTTGATTTCTAAAAATATTAGAAAATAAAGTGCAACTGATAAATTTTTGGATGTTCATGAAATATATATTTATTTTAAAATATATTTTATGTTATTTAAAAATATATGTTAATGGGTGTATTACTATTTTGTGAATTTTCCTTTTTAAGAAAGTCATATTATACATATATATTTCGTTTTAAATTTTGTTTTTAAACTTTTAGAAATATTTCCTTTTTATTATATATGTTATTTGGAAAAATTTAAAAAGAAACTAAATAAAAATAATAATCTTAAAATCTAACAATTCATTAAGGGTATCTAGGTAATCAACCATCGTGAGAGTTAATATGAATGCGACATGTAGGAAACTGACTTCTCAAATAATATTATAGAGATATTAAAGAATAACTGATATGCATCTTCCTTGGCTGTTTTATTGGAACCACCATTTTGCACATTGCTTTTCAAAATATTCAACATTGTTTGGCTTGACTTCCCCTGCAGACCTTGGCTGCAGCCTTGTGGCAGTTATACCTTTTTGAAGATCCACCTCACATATATCAACCCGTGTTTCAACCTCAATAAAAGCTTCGCCAGAGTACTCAATCTCTAGTTCGAATGCCCATACACCACTCATCTCCATTGGAAGAACCCGAGTACCATGTATATAAGGTGGGAGATTCCCAGTGTCAACATCTGAGCAGATTAGCTCTCACTAATGTAGCTTGGAGTCCTCATGTTGGATAACCCCCGCTGTTTTAAGACCACAACGCCACATCTCAAATTTGAATTCATTAAAGCTTTTCATAATCATGGAAAGTGCAGACTTGGATTCGTGCTTGCACTAAGCTCTTCACTCCTGTTTTCTGTTTAAGATCGAAAAACAGCCTAGAAATGATCAAATTCCACGCCAATGTTCCTTCATCCATGTCAAACTTCTCTTCATAGTCTCCATCCGAAACCCCAGAGATATGACTGCTATGACTCACATAACGTGAAAAAACAGGCACATCAGATTCATCTGCGCTGTAATCTTCCATCCTCCTCCCTGAAACGCTCCTCCCTGAGCTACCACTTCCATGTTGTGAATCTTGGTGGTAAGAACCCATGGAAGAGTCTTTCCGATGTGATCGTTTCCTTTGAGGAAGAAGAACTATCAGTTATGTTCCCTTTGTCAAACGTCACAAAACAGAACCCAGCTGATGGTTTCATAAACGAATGATATGCAATTTCGTGGAGTACCAAATAAACCTTTCTGGATTCTCACAAGCAGCGAGACGAAGAGCTTTACACCATGATTCCTTCCCCCAAGAAGTCTCGAGATAGATGTAAAACACTTTGTTCCTTTGTATAAATCTGAAGAAACCTTGCTTTCAACTTTTATAGGAAACCTCATGGCCCTAAAAAAAAAATCAGAACATTCAAAGACCTGACTCTACACAATTATAGATAAGAGTTGTATACCATTTTCTTGTAGGGACGATGAGAGCCTGAAACAGCTTCCATTGAGCAACATTTTAAAGAAACTGTAATCTGAGTGCTATCACAACCATCTACTGATAAGAGGAGCTTGTGATCTTTGATCCTAGCGAATTTGTGAAGAGGATGAACATCCAAGAAATCTCTCTTCCTCTTGTGCTCTTTTGGTAACTTCTCCTTCCACCAGTTCTTCACACCTTCATCCTTCTCCAGAATCCAAACCATTCTCTGTCTGTATTATGGAGGACTGATGGCACAGGGATGGAGTGATGGTGTGGTGTCGGTTGAAAAATCGAATCACCGAAGAAGAACAAAGAAGAATCAAAGAAATCGCATCCGAGAATGAAGGCGAATTAAGGTTTCGTTGGTGACTCAAGAGATTGGACCAAATGGACCGAACATACAAACAATCAGAAAGACAAAAAAATCACAGTTGAGAGTAAGCAACTTTTATTATAGTAGTACTGATTATCTCAATATCCACCTTTTAGAACGAACCTATCAAAGATTGCTCGAGAAAGAAAGAAAGAGAAAAAGGAAATATATCTCCTCTCCGCCGCAGAAACGAAATCAGATAGGTATCTTCTCGTTCCTTGGCTCCTCACATCTCAAATACTCTGAGATTCTTAGGTTTACTCTTGGCAAAAAAAAAAAAAAAGTTATGAAGATTCCCTTTATTTACTTGTGACAAAGTTTCTTTTTATGTTTTCAAAGGAACAAAAGAGACGATCGATGTAGCGGAGCCTCGATATCAGGAGGCGGAAACGGGAGTTTTTTGGGATATGTATAGCCTCTCGAATGTACCAAAGCTGCGCAGATACTTGAGAATGTAAGGTCGGCTCTCGTTAATCTGAACTACACAGGTCCAGTTTCCTTCTCAGCCTATGGCTGCTCGAAACAGATGTCTCCTGCTACCTCGGGAGCTCTCTCTGACTATGGAGTTAATCTTGATCTTACTGACGCCTTTCTCGACCGCAGTTAATTTCTTAATTTTTGACATTCTTTTCAATTTTTCAAAGAGTTTTCATGTCTTTTTGAAACAGAACAATTTGACTACCATCTTTTCTACGAACTAGTCGCTTGGAGGAAACGCCACCCAAGTCCTGCGAATATATTACTCATTCTTCGACACTGTGAAGAAGGTCTCGCTGGTGTTCTTCATGCTTATCCAAAGCTTGGATACAATCTTCTTCTAGCATGTCCGCTTTACAATAGTCTTCGTGCTTACCCTGCGTTCGCTTCCATAAAGACCAGATTTCCGTGGCTATTATTAGCGTAAGCACCTAAACCAAATAGTCCCTAATTCTATTCTTTCACATTCTAATATATTTTGTTTGTTTGTGAAATTGAAAACCAGAAAGGGAGAATATGAAGCACACCCAAACAGATTTGTGGGCCAAGCAGCACTGGAGGAGCTGGTGGTTGCTATAGACCAAGCAACATTGGAGGATAAGGATGGTAATGAGGATAAGAGAAAAGGCTCAGGGAGAGAGGAAACTGAAGAAAGGAAAAGAGCAGGAACAGACGATGAGACACTAACTAGAGGAAAACGTGAGAGGTCTACTTCACCGTTTCATAGGAATAGTCGCAAGAGAAAGCTTTCACCAGAAAGAGCTTCTGCAACAAGGCATGATGAGGTACCTATTGATGTCATCTGCTCTGCTTCTATGTATCTTGTCTTTCTTTTTCTGCTTGAAAAATGGTGGTTTTGTTGGAATTTGTTTAGCTTTAGTGTATATGCTAGTAAACGTTGTCTTTTGCTTCTGGTACTCTCATGTCTTACCATAGTATATTGTTTGGATCCTGTGATTTAGCCTTTCTATCGCTTGACTTTGTAACTAGAACTTCCTCTCAGCCATTTTTTTTTGCTGAAAGTGAGCTTAGATAGTTTCTTTTGTGCCCTTCGGCAATGTCCAGTGGCACTATGTTTCTTTTATTTACTTACGAAAGCTCATTATCTAGACTGTTTGATTTTGAAGTTTGAATTATCCTCCTGGTATATTTTCTTGCATAGTTTTATCGTTTATAACCTTTGTGTCATGCTATCCATGACTAATCCCTTCATTATATTTGGTGAGTCACAAGTCTTTGTCACTTCTTAAGTCATTTTGATCTCCTTATCTTTTTAGGGATCTAACGCAAGAGGGAGCGGCGAGGAACCGTAAGTTTTCTTCTTAAAAGATTAACTCTTACAATTTTTTTTTCAGTCTTTTGTTTAACCATGTAGGGGTTTTCTTTAACAGCAATGAAGAAGATGCTGAAGAGGCTCTGGGAGCGAAGAAAAAGGTATCATAATATAAGCATCTATTAGTTTCAAATTCCTGTGTAATTTTAGCTCTCTTAGCTCATCCATGTTTTGACGCTTTAGCTCTAATTTTGTTTTATCTTGCAGGAAGAATCATCGTTTGAGCTATCAGGAAAACTTGCGGAAGAAACCAACAGATACCGAGGTGATGTTTCAATCTGGGGATTTCAAATTTTCAATTGCTAGCATTACTTTGTCATATCAACTTCTGCTACATGGATGTGTGCAACATGTCCCTTTGTTGTTAGGATAACTTTTTCCTCAATTTTATATGCATTGTTGTACCTCTAATATGGTAGCTCGAAGGCTAATGGTTAACGAGACTAAAAAGCTCAATATATACCATTTGCTAGCAGCAAATATCCTATTGACTGCAAATCCCGCTCTTACTCTAAGGAATGTAGGTAAATAAAGGTTTATCGCCTAAATCTCTATCATTGGCATGCATCCCTGATTTTTTGAACTTCTTGCAGGTATTTGCACTGCTCTTCAGTGAGCCCCCAGAGGCTAGAAAACCCAACAAAGGATGATACTATCAAGTTTGGTAACAGCAGGTATGCTACTGCAGAACATTGCAATTTTTTTCGCTTATTAACTATGAATAATGATCGTGCCAGTTCTCTTTTAATCAAACTTCGCTTGTTTGTGTATATTGTTTTGGTCAACGCAGTGCTCCTTGGCATCTGCTTTCGCGTTTTTATAACAATGTCTTGACATATTTTGTTCTTTTGGTTGCAGCCGAGAGTACCTACTATTGCTCGATGGTTCTGCAGAACGAATCAAATATGTGTCAGTAGAAAGAAAATAGCTTTTCTCTGTGATTTAAAAGGATAGTCGAGCATCTTCTTTTCTACTTTACAGACATTTTGTTAATACTTACCAAGTAACAAACGATCGAATGTTAAAGAGATATTAGTTTCTGTCTTTTGGTTTTGTAAGGTGACAGACCTTTTGGTTGGTTATGAGATCAATCTTTAGTTTAAAGTTGCACCTCCGTTATGCATTGGAACAAACGTAAAAGTAACAACACATGGAGTCAGAACGATTTTTCAACTTCAATTACCAAAACAAAACATGATTTCTTTTTTTTTTATAACATGATTTCTTTGTAAGAGGCAATTGAAGATTTGTCAAGCCTTATGGGTTAGTAAAATATTGCTTTAATCAATCCAATCTGGTATATACTGATTCTGATTCTGGAATCTCTATAATATTATTTGAGAAGTCAGTTTCCTATGTGTCGCTCTCACGTTCATTATCACGATGGTTGATTACATTGATACCCTTAATGTATTATTAATTCTTTTATTTAGTTTCTTTTTCAAAAATTTCCAAAAAGATATGTAATAAAAAGGAAATTTTTATAGTCATAAAAAACAAATTTAAAACGAAAAATATATGTATATATAATATGATTTCATAAAAAAGTAAAGTTGACAAAATAGTAATAATACATTTAAAAATATTTTAAATAACATAAATAACATAAAAATATAGGTATTTATAATATAATTTCATAAAAAGGAAAGTTCAAAAAATAGTAATAATACATTTAAAAATATTTTTAAGAAACATAAAATATACTTTTAGAGTAATAAAATAATTTATATCAATCAATTATTGTAAAATTTTTCATATATATAGTTGACTATAATATCTTTCAATTACAGAAAAATTATCTATAAATTATATATTATTTATATAATATTATTTTCAAATACAATCACAATTTTTTATAGTGCTTATTTTTAAGAGATATTAAAAACTAAAAATAAATTTAACAATAAACATCGCTTGATCAAAATAATTGTTCTAATGAGCTAGATATATGATATTTTATCATTATTAAAATTATTTATTTTTTTAATATTAAATTTTCTTTTAAATTTTATGTTTTTATGTTTGTGAAACTAAATATAACCATAATCAAAATATCAAAGCAAATCTGAATTCTCAATTTAAGATAAATTTCAGTTTACATTCAATAAATCTAAAGCATAAAGTTATTTAGAATTTATAAATACTTTAATTATTGTAAATATTGATATGTGTTCATGAGCTTCCAAAAATGTATCAACTATTTATGCATGTAACCTTCTATTGATCATAGGATAACTCAAAACATATTAACAAATGAAAATATATATTAACCAACTCTTACAATTTTAGTTCTTTTGTAAAATTTATATATATCCATGAGACTTTAGAATATTATCGTTATATTAATTTACGTATTTTGGAATAAGACACTTTAGTTAATTTTTAATTCATTCTAAGCTCAATATATCTTAAGTTATACATAATTTTCCTAAAATATATTTACATATCTAAGACAACACCCACCATATGCAAATAAGTAACTAATTAAAAATTAATATATTTTAAAAATATTAAAGTTGAATTCAGAGACGCAATCCAATTTATCCAAATGATAACTAAACCAACCGTAAAAACAACAAAACCGACTAGATATAACATATATAAAATTACAGTATAAGTAAAGTAATATAATACTATTAATATAAATGATGTATACAAGTTATAAATTAATTTAAAANACCGTAAAAACAACAAAACCGACTAGATATAACATATATAAAATTACAGTATAAGTAAAGTAATATAATACTATTAATATAAATGATGTATACAAGTTATAAATTAATTTAAAATTAAAACTAAATAGTAGTAAATTATTATTATATATTTACTTTAAAAATATTTATATCCGTGCATGAGCACGGGAAATCACCTAGTTTATTTGTAAGTTTGGTACTAGTTTAGTCTACAACTATATATCATATCAATACTATTAAATTTGGATGATGACCTATTGATATTAGTTGAGTCCAATTTAAATTATCGACAATACATATCTAAAGATAAATATAATATTTACATCTGCATCTAAATATCACGTTCAATACTATGCACGATCTTATTTTTCATAAACAGAGCAGTTACTTTTGTTCGTCCAGTATAGTCTACTTTTAACAAACTGGGTTGATAAAACCTATTTTACCATAACTCATCGTAAACATCTAAGCCGAAGTAATCAACCACAAATACAAATCATATTAAACCCTTGGTGGTTAATAGAATAGATGCCATGTTTGAGAATGCTGCCTTGGTAGCCGGTTAATCACCGGAAAAAGCATGGAACGGCTGGGAACCATGGTGATTTGGTGTTAATTGGGGAATAAATAAAAAAAAATTGAAAGAACGATCAACTTTTTGTAGATATTAAGCTTATAATCACAAGTATACTTTAGATTCGTTATATTATGACTGGAATTTGCAAGAATAACAAGAGAAATCAGTGAAAAAAAAGCAGCTGTAGAAAAATGACAAACATCATAGGTTGAAGGTTGAAGACAATGTCACTTTTGTAATTTCCTAAGTAACTATAAATTTATAAGATAATAATTAAATTATTTTGATATAATTTTATATCATTGTTAGAATCTAAAATGATATAAAAATAAAATTAAAAAATTAAAAGTTAATATAAAATATGATGAGACTAATTTATTTATATAGATATTAGAAAATAAATGAATTTTATGATTTTCTTTTTAAAAAACAGTTTATATTTCTTTTTAACTTGAATTTAAAAATCAATGTTAATATCGAATCGGATTACCGATTTTAACTAGTTTGACCAGTTTATGAATGGGTTTGCCGGTTTGATTCAAATTTGGTTTTAGCATAATCCGTAACTGTTTAGAAGAACGAATCATAGTCCGACTAGTCCAGCCTATAATTCAAATCTGGTTTTTAGCAAACATATATTTTTCCATATGTAGAAATTTTCTTTACCAAAAAACTATTTAACACATTAGAGAAAAATAAATCATAATATTCATTTTCCAAAACTTTGAAATTTAAATGTTTTAAATGATATATCTTATCAAAATAATTGACATTATTCAAATTTCGTAAATATAATAAAAAATAATATTAAATTAATATTAAACAATAAACACAAATATAATTATAAAAAAAAATATGAAAATTAAATTTCTTTAAAAAATTAAAACAAAAAATATATCCACCCTTTGAAAGAGCGGATCAAAATCTAATACACGATTACTATGATTCTGCAAGCTTTTTAGTATCACCGCCTAGACCCGTTACCAGCTTCTAGATACGATGATAAGTTTTCGGCTAGGCGGACGCATTTTTTAAAATATGGAATTGGACGTAACTCAAAAAGTTGAAATCTTCAGTTTCCTTTCTTAAGCTTAGCCAAACTCAGTCTTTAAACATGTTCTTTGCTCTTACCGTGGAAACACATTTCCTCTGTATCTGATACTCTCATGATAGTGACTTGACAGTACTTTCTATTTTTGATAGCCACTATTTTAGACTAGCATGGTTTATAGTTAGACAATCATCACTTGCTTAGTACGTTTTTATGTGTTAGGGATCTTTTAATGATGAAAGCATGGTGCTTAAAGAAGTTAAAGAAGGTTCATCCCATTATAGATACGGATATTTCAGGAGGAATAAGTCCAGAAAATGTGTATATATCTGTGGATTTAGACAAGGAGGTGAACTCTCTTTAGATACCTATTTTACAGGCGCACAACGCTTGGTTAGTGTTCTATTGTACCTCTTGGAGGAGGTGCAGTCTTTAGCGGATGGGTTCCATTTAACTCTTCAACCATCAATCAGTTTCCTGAAGATGCTAAAAAGGTATATGTTGTATTCTTCTCGTCACTGTTTCTTGGGTTCTCTGAGTCTCTCCAGACTTCTTTTGTATGCAGACACCATCTTGCGGTCTCATGGCATTGATGACAGGACTGTACTATTAGAAGCTGGTGGTCAAGCAGCTCTTCCTTTCCTTCAACAAGCTGGAATTACTTGTGAATTCAAGGTACAAATAATAATATTATTTGTTGTATCCTTCAACAATCAACCGAATTCTAGAATCAATACAGGTTCTAGGTAAAGCCTAATGAAAATTCATCTGAAGCCCCAAAATTTGTATGAGCTAATAGACATACGGCCTATGAATCCTATATTGTAAAAATAAAGTTTTTATGAAGACTTGCCTTAAAATGTTCATGGCTTCATAAATCTTAGGACCAGCGGCCATATCTAGAATCACTTGTTCAAAGTTGCTTATCTTTTTGATATTATAAACAAATCGTTTATCTGCAGGGTTATCCAGAATCTTGGGCACTCAATCACTAATAAGGAGCTTTGAGACAGTAGTGTTTGCCCAACTAGTTCAGTTATCTATTTACTTCTATTATAAATGCATCTTTAGAAGATTGTGTAAGTTTGATTGAACATATGGAATTTGGTATCAATTATCAACATACTCTATTTTTTCAAAAATTTATCAACATATATAATCTAAATGAATTTGCCGACGATAACCACCACGATACGTCCACGTGTTTGATGCTAATGCTAAAACGTGTAAACCAATCAAACAATAATGAGCTTAGAGTGAGAGAAGATAAAAATCTCAAGGAAGCAAGCGGAGAAAGAGCATGATTGATAAAGTAAACAAAACATAGAGCAAAGAACAAAACATGCATGAAAAAAAATTGCAATCGAAACAGCTTGAAGAGGAGAAATATAAAGTATCGAACAACAATATATGAAAGCCTTTTCAACACACTTATTACATAAACTCCAAATTCTCCACATAGTCTATCAATGTGTTTATAAAATGATGCTTCTTACCTTCTTCAACTTCAAGTCCCTCAACTTTGACTCTTCTAAAAGTCTTACTCTCCACATTGTAGAAGACAACGAAGTACCGGTTCATATGGTGGAACGGGTATGACGAGTATACAATTTCACCTCTACCAGTCACTCCAACAAACTTGGTATGCTTGACCATCTCTTCACCTAAAGGAGACAATACGTAGCTATTCTTGGACCACTTATGATTTCCAGCATCTTCTAGAACCCACAGTACAAGTCTTTTCTCATATATATCATCCTTCTCATAATGTATACCTAATTTACCATTGTAATTAAAAAGATCCAAAGAACCCAACGCAGATACTTCCATGTCTTCATCTGTGTTTATAAAGCGGAACTTCTCAGACCTAACGTCGAAGCAAACTATAACAGTAGATTTCCCCAACTTAGCTTCAAAATATAAAATACCATTTATAGATATATCAGTAGTTATACCATGGCTCCTCTCAAAATGGAACTTGCATTCAACCATTCTCCATAAAAGCTTTCAAGATTCCAACGTCAAGACCTGTTGAGTATTGGATCTTTCATCACGTGACGAGGTCATACACAATACTTTAAACTGTTTTCCGATCGGATCATACCCAAAATACAATTCTGCAGTGGGTAAGATGTTTTCTTTTGAGAACATTGGGTAAGGTTAGAAACTCCCCAGTGGCAGGGTTACAAATCACCCACATCTCCCGAAGCAATACCAACCCACAGAGTGTGCTAGGGATATTAAATGGAATATATTCTGGTAAGATAGGCGTTTGATAAGGCGTGGCTAGAAGAAAAGAGTTATCGTCCGGATTATGAGGCTGAGTTGAAGACGAGTAGAAGAACAACTTTCCATCAACTTCTAAGGTGAAAAGGAACCGTGGACGAGTCAAAGACACAGTCAAAAACAAGTCAGTGAAATCAGGACGGCAAAACATGGATGCCAAGAATTTCGATACGCTACGAAACCTAGCTATAGACTTTGCCGGGACTCGAGAGAATATCTCCATAAGCAGATCATCAGGGATTGAGTATTCTCTTACCGAGTTTGCTGATTGTGTTTCATGTCTGGATGTGGTTAATACTAGACTTGAGACTGGAAACATGATAGATAGATTCTCGAACTAGAAATCCTATCCTACTTGCGGAAGGGATACACAGACCTAGAAGATGATCTTGTGCAAGAAAGATTTAGAGAGATTTAGGTTGAAGAATATATATGATTATTATTATTGATTGTTTTCAAACTGCCGTAAGGCTACAATATATAACAAGTCTAAAGAGAAGAAAAGTTAGAACTAAATAGGAAAAGGAAAGAGATAATGGGAAGATTAAAAAGGAAAACAATAACTTAGGAAAAAAGTAAATGAATAAGCTTTGTGACTTATCCTTTCACAAGACCCTCCGACAATTGCTGCTGCATATTTTTCATCGCTGATGGATTTTTACAAACCCTAGAATAGCTTCATTGCTTAAGACGAACGAAACCGTAGACTTGGCTAAGATTCCTATATGTGCTTTATAAGGGCCCAAACATACTCAGTGAATTTAGGGCTATTAGAATCTTTCACTAGACGAGTTTTGTATTGCATATTATATCAATCTTGTGGTTTAATCAGTGTTATACGGCTTCACTTTCAGAGGCTATTCATTGTCACGCGTAGGAAGATGGGATTGGTCATGAAAGAAAAGAAAACAATATTGGTAGCAAGTGGTATACTGATTCTTGAATGTGTCGTTTTTATCAAAGAAATTGTGTTCTTGTACCCCGTAGACTGTCATGAAAGTAATCTTTGGTAGATAAGATGAGAAACTAAAGCATTCCACACGATTACACAACAGTAACAATTGTGTTCTCCGGTAATATAAGAAGCATCATCAGAGGCCAAGAAAGCTCTTTCTCTCTGAAAATAAAAACACAAGAACAATCATAGATGGGAACCGAACACTATTTGATCACAAACACAAAACACTTTCTTTAACAAACTAACAAACTAACAAACCACTTGAGGGTTCCGAGTGATGATAGAGGCAAAGTTTGTTCACTCTTTTTACCGGTGAGTAACAGTGGAATATAGTGAGTAAAAAATGTTGAACCACCATCATCATAAGGATTAGTGGTTACCTGGAGGAGAAGGATAAGATGATTTGACATTGACTTTCCAAAGCTTGTCAAGAGCAGATTCTTGAGAGGATAACATTGGGTCAATAGATGGATTTCACAGCTGCTTACATACAACAATATCTCTGAAACACAAGCCAAAGGAATGCTGATTTAAGAATAAAACACCATCAAAAGTTGAGACATGCATCTTACTTGAATTGTCTTTTGGACAAGAATCTGGCAATGTTGAGCATTAGAGACATGACAAACGATTCCAAATGCATCAATCTCATGAGCTTTAAGCTTCTCTAATGCCTAATCCACATTTTAATGCACAATTTAAAAGGAAAACACACACAAATTGCTTGTGGAAAACAGAGCTTCTAACCTGGATTCACTCATGCTATGCAAACAAAAACAAAACTCATTAAGAAAAACATAGAACTGGAGGACCTGTTTGCGAGAAGAGACGATCAACATTACCGAATATGCAATGGAGTCTAGCGGTTAGAATTGTCTTCAAGGCATTTTTTTTTTCTTTTCTTAGTTTCAAAGTTATTGACACTTGGTGATCTGTGTGATTTATAAGATTGATGGATCAAGTTACGAATGCAGAGTTCGTCCTCTTTGTTTTTGAATTGCTTAGAGCAATCATTGCATAAAAGGTAAACATTGTACCTATAACATGTACAAATAGTCTAATAAATTGTTTTAGGTAAAAATAACACATCAAAAATTATACAACGGAAAATAATAATGTTTTATTTAAATAATCAAAAATTTTATTTTCAAAAAAAAAATATATATATATAATTTTTTTTTAATTTAACTTTTAACAAAAGTTATTTTGGTTATTTTGATCACGTGTGAGAGTAGTTTTTTAATCATATATATTAACCATTAAATGAGAGTTTTCATTATACGCGACATATCTCTCTCTCGCGCTGTGACATCTCTCTCTCTCTCTCGTCGTTGCCATCGGTTTCTTGATTCCCGGCGACGATGGAAGAGGAGCATTATCGAGACTGGGCGGGGCTTCCGGTGGAATTGACATCATCGATCATGAGCCGTCTTAACACGGTGAATGTATTGGAAAAAGCTCAGAAAGCATGCATGTCGTGGCATCTCGTATGTCAAGATCCTTCCATATGGCGTAAGATTGATATGCACAACGACTTGGGATTCATGAACTTGTTGACCAAGATTCATCACAGGGACATGTGTCGTCAAGCTGTTGATCTTAGCCACGGCGGTTTGGTTGAGATTGACATTTGGTATATCTGTACTGATTCTCTCCTCGAACACATCGCTGATAGGTACTCACGACTCTCTCTACGTTCAATCTTGATTGATTCTACCGTTGCTATATAATTCTTGTTAGTCCTTATAGTACTTTTAATCGTTTCTTGCAGTGCAAGTAACCTCAAAACCCTAAGAATTGCAATGTGTCATGAAATACTCGATCATGGGCTTGTCGAAGCAGCTGCGAAGCTTCCGTTTCTTGAAGAACTAGACATTTCGTACTGCTCATTTGAAGTGGAGACTCTTAAAGCTGTAGGACAGTCTTGTCCACACCTAAAGACGTTGAAGCTAAACTACCCTGTAGTTGGTTATGATGAAGATGACTTTGCCTTAGCGATCGCTGAAAGCATGCCGGGACTACGCCACCTCCATCTTTCTGGGAACCACGATATGAACAACACGGGCTTGAAAGCTATTCTCGACGGTTGTCCTCACCTGGAACACCTCGATTTACGCGAGTGTTGGAAGATTGAGCTTGTTGGGGACCTAGAGGATCTATGCTCAGAGAGAATCAGAGTTTTGAGACGCCCAGGTGACCCATCCCCAGGTCCTCATCCTATGTTTTGGTTATAGATTTTGATATTAATTACTACTTTATAATGTTGTAAAGATCTTGAACAACCGCATACTTGCACTACGTTTCTGAAACAAGTTTGGAAAGTTGATGATGATTGCTTCATGTATATGAATTTCCATGTACTTTTGAAAGTGGTTGACTTTGAACTACTATCACATATATCCACGTCCGTCATCTTAAAAACACTTATTTCCATTTTTTGGTATCCATTTATTTGTTTGTAAACTACTAATTTCCATTTTCTTGTATAGAAAAACATTATTTCTTTTTTCTTGTTGAGCAAAATACAAAAAGAAACGTTTGTTTCTGTTTAACTATAGACCCTAATCTTTCTCAACTATTGTGTCTGCTCTATCAAAGTATGAAACTAGTAGGCAACGATTCCAATAAAATATCGCACTCTACTGAATTTTCTTCCGATAAAAAAATATATCTTACAATATCTACGTCAGATCATCCAATCAGAGAGGGTTTAAAATTGCCACATCACTATTGTTGAGTTAGACTGAACTTTTGTGTGGTTTTTTTTTTTTTAATTTCCATCCGATCCAACATAGCCCATGCGGCCATGCCTATAAACATGTATCGTCTTCAAGCGTCGAGGATCTCTCTTTCCCGGACTCTTCCACTTCATCTTCTACTTAGTTACCTTCTTAATCAATGATAATTTTAAAGCTATTTTTAAATATTTTGTTTCACATCCCCTCTATGCTTCACCTATATAAAGCTTTTTCTCTAAATCTTTATCTATCCAAAATTAAAAAACCTACTCTGCAGAAGCTACAACATGGCCATCAAAATACCACCAGAAAAAAAGTTTAGCTCTCAACCTACAAACTGATCTAGGACTTCTTAATTTTTAATGAACTTTAGAGATTTTTCAATTTAGTTTGAAACTTATAAATTGATTAAAATAAACGTAGTTAGATATTAAATGAACTTAATTTTAAAAGTTAGTATAGTAAAATGAATAAAATAATTAATTCACGTATTAATCTATGTAAGAAAAGAACTTGGAAACTAAAAAGGTTTAGGGAAATTGAACATTGGCTAGGTGAAGTATTAACCATTATATGGTTAGCCATACAAACTAATGTATAACTAAAAACACAAAATATATGTTATGCATGACAACATCCCTCAACTTAATGATGTTATGGGATTAATATCAAGAAATTAATAGATGTCGGAGAAGTTAACTCCGTATTTTCTTGTTGATCAATTAAATCTGACGCAACAATCATAATTTACTAAAATTAGATATGGACACGCACAATTATGCGGGTGATTATTTTCATTTATACAAATATTAGATTTACATGATTAGTTGTATATAATTTTAATATTTATCATATTGTTAATAACTTAATATAATATTTTCAAACACAACAATTTTATAGTTAGCATGTAGTAATTTAATTTATTGTTTCAAATTGTTAGTGATACATTTCTTATTAAAACATGATCACTATCTAAAACTTTACATTATGTGATATTTACAACAATTTTGTTCAATTTAATATTAACTTAGATATTAGTTTCCTTAAGATTGTATTTGTATTTTAGGTTTTTGTCATACATATATGTTAACCATATTATTTGTATGAATTAAATCTTTGACTGAATAACCTATATTAAGTGTAATTTATAAAACGTCTGCTTCATTTAAATTATTAAACTGGAAATTGTAATTCATTGTGTTTGTTTTTGTCTTTTTAAACCTAATTTTTCTCTTTACTATTTATGTTTTTGAGGTTTCTTACATTGTGTATTGCTGATTTAGACTTTATTACCCCCAAAAATTTTGAATTATTTTCAATGTTAAAACATTTATTTGCAATTCTTCATCTATCATACATCAAGTTATATAATTAACACTTAACCTACAACTATATTTGATAATAAACACACTGTAAATAAATGTATTCACAATGATATTTTTTTCAATCATTCATCTGTCAATTTTGTTAATGACATTAATTGGTACAATATCTATTGCACTTTCAAAATTGTACAAGCTAAAAGAAACAAAAAAATAACATTAATGAATAATAAATGAATATGGTCTATATAAAAATGAGATTGTGTATCTTTTCGTAACACAAAACAGTCATATATTTCTATTATTGAAATATATAAAATTAAACCTCCTACTATATTTAATAACATAGACTAAATGAATTTTCAAAATTTCATTTGTAGACGGATCATTCATATTGATAGCGTATTTTCAACAGTGTAGTACAAAATTCTGAATTAACAAATATTAAATTTTAGAGATCAAAGATTTAGTTGAAAAATCTTAGTTAAATTAATATCAAAAATTCAATACAAAATAATACACGAGTTTAATATGATTACATAATTAATTAGATAATTATAAGGTTTATTTTAGTAAAAATGAAATATACATTTATATTTTAAATAATTACAAAATTAATTAAATATTTAAAAGGTTTGTTCAAGTGAAAAATGAAACATACATCTATATTTTTAAATAATACGAAAGTAATTACATCTTTTTAAAAATGTTTGATTTAATGAAAAATGAAATATTTATTTATATTGTATAAAAAATATGAAAATATTTTGTTTAGATGTAATTTAGAGAAAATATAGGAATATCTATTTGATTTTTCTTAGAATAATTAAAATATTTTACATATGTATACAAAAATTCATTTAAATATTTTTTTAATAGAAGGGTCCAAATAAAAAAGTCACACATGAAAGAAAATATGACTTCTCTTTAAATATAATAGATTTAACTTAAACTAGCTTAATAAAAAAAATGAAATTTGTTCAGGGTTTTTTATCGGTCCAAAAAAGTCAAATATCAGACGATAATTTTGGTCAATAATAATCACATATGATTTTATCAACTTCTTTCCTCATTCACTGATTTGAATCGCAACCCTATTTTTTTTATAGATTTTTTCCCTTCTGCCATGACAGAGAGATGATGTCTCCTATATTTAACTTTTCTTGGGATGATTTTAGAAATGTGTGGTCAACACTTTTTTTTATTAGGCTGGGTTGGTCAAATTTTGTTAAATTATGGTTGGGTGGATCATATTTAATTAACCAACATGATAATTAAGTAAAGTTAACGTCTCCAACGTAATGAAATCAAACTCGTGATGTTTAACTACATATTATATAACACTATTAAGTTGAGAGATGTTTTCAATTGAACCAACCGGTTTAATCCCTAACTGAAAAACCAATTAACTAAACCGGTTGATCGGTCAACCTGGTTGACTCGCCGAGTCGACTCGGTCGAGTTACCGTATCACCAGCGGCTTACCGGAATCAACGACGGCGGCAGTTCCTCGCGTGTGAAGACTACGTGTGGAGCTTGTGGCAGAGGACGGCAGTGCGTGTCGCACACGCGTGGACAGGCGCAGAGGAAAATCGGTGCGTGCATGCGTGTCAGTGGTTGGCTCCAGGTGGTCTTGCTGGTCTGGATTCGTCTCGACGTCACGAACATGATGGCACCCTTAGATTCACAAGAAACAACACAATTAGAGAGTTATGATCGATTTAATGAAAGAACAAAACAAAGCCTTACGGGATGGCGGCGAGTGGGGATACCTACGGCGGTTGACGGTGACAGGATGGTGGTTTGGGTCTCAGTTGATGGTGACGATAACTGTACAGACTCGGACTTGTTTGACTATTCCATCTCTGTAAAATTGTATGCTTAGGTTGTCTAGAGAATAAATTTAATGAGGAAATTCTTTATATAGGGGAACTCACCTAGGGTTTCATAGAGCTTAAATGGGTTTTGCTGGGCCGGGTCGTTACAATTCTTCCTCATTAATAAGGAATCTGTCCCCGAATTTGGCGCCTGAAACGACTGCCCAATATCGTCGGGAAAAAACTCTGGATAATGAATCCAATATCGTCCTCTCTTCATGGATCCCATCTCTCTCCCAATGAACTTTGACCATCATGGTTATCATCCCTGAACATCTTTCACTTTCCGCTCCAAAATCTCAATTGGCTGAATAAGTGCAGACAAATTTTTACATAGATCACGTGGTGGCTGCTGTAAAATGAGTTCTGGTTCTCTCACAACTTTCTTCAATAGCGACACATGGAACACATCATGGAAATCTGACAAATCTGCTGATAACTGTAATCTGTAAGCCACTGCTCTAATCCGTTCCAGAATGGGGTACGGTCTCATATATCTCGGTTTAAACTTCTTTAGCTTTCGAGTCTTAGATCCTCCCTGAAATGTTCTAATCTTCAGGTACACTAAGTCACCCATCTGGAAATCCAAATCTTTTTGGCGCTTATCTGCATAGTTCTTCTGATGATCATGGGCCTCCTTAAGCTGAGTCTTAAGCATCTCTACCTGCTCTACTGTCTCTTGAACCATTGCTGGTTCTATGACACGTCACTCCCCCATCTATCCAAAAAGTGATGTACGACAAGGTCTACTAAAGGTATATATTTTCCCCAGCTCCCTTCCAAATCCAAAACACAAGCTCTGAGCACATCTTATAAAGTCTGAATAGTCTTCTCTTATTGTCCATCTGTCTGTGGATGATATCACCTGTAACGCTCCGACTGTCCACAGTTAATGGGTCACCCACGCCCGCTCACTCGGCACGTAGGCCCCATCCCATCCGACGTCGGTCCGTTAATTTTTCCAACACTACAAGAAAATGTGACATATATAGCTTCGGAAAAACGCTATTGCAGGATAACATAGCGTTATGGTGAACGCTGTGTCTGCCCCCGCAATCTTTTCTCAGGCACTTTATATAGCGTTTCTCTGTATGCTATTTTATTTTATTATTTCGATAGCGTTTATTAGTTATGCAATTCTAACATTTATAATAGCACAGTATATTTGCTATTGGTGTTATAAACATAGCACTATTTTGATGTGATTGTTAGTATTTAATATAGCGATTTCTCTTTTGTTGTTGTTTCTGTAGTTTTAGCTGGGTTTTGTTGTATAATTGGAATCAACGTATTAGTC